CCCCGCCCTTCTCCCTCAGTGCCGACCCCCTTCCCGCCCTTCTCCCTCGGCGCTTCGCGTCGGGCCACGGAGAGCGTATGTGGGCCTGTGGGTGGAAGGGCTTAAAAAGGCGAAAGGCAGGCTCAGAAACCAGTGTGTGTAACAGCGTCGTGAACGTCGAGCGAGTTTGATGAGCGCCGGGCCTGGCGAAAAGCAAAGGGGCTGCCAGTCTCGCGCGCTCAGACGGCTGGCTGACAGCACCGCCCAGCCCAGGCCGCTGCCCACTCTCAGGTAACTTGGGCAGGGACATCTTTACCCTGTAAGGCACAGTGTTTATTGGCAAGGGTGGAATAGCTTTGCTCCACGTTTCTTCACCTTCGTGCTAAATCCTGTGAGGGCACGGTGTGCTTCACAGCCCCAGATGCAAAAGTGTATTAATCATAGTGCACTGGGGCGCAAATTCCTAACAACGTTCCTTTGAGATTTTAAGGGATGTTGGAGACACTCACCAGGAAAGTGGCAATTTGTCTGTGAGTTCAGTTTTTACCTGTTTGGCTAGTGATAGATTAAAAAATATGGCATCTTGAGAGAGAAGTGTTCCAGCAGTCTTGAGGTAAGAGAAGCTGAATTACAGGTTTCTCAGTCTGAGGTAGGTTGCCTCAGCAAGACCTTTGATACCATAGATCTTGGACTGAGAAGTCTTCATCTCTTCCCCAATTCAAAAACAGTCTTAGTTCTTTGTGAGTTGCTTATTAGCCTTCCTTTCCATTTTATGGTTTCCTTTCCTACTCACAGCTGTGGTAATTCTGTGAAGTTGTGATATTTTTAAGTTTATTGAACTGTTTTTACTTGCAGCCCCTCAGTCACTTTGTTGATGAAGTATTCTATAAAAGAAGGGTGAGAGTTATTATTACTGTTCTTTTAACAGTTTAGTTTTAACAACTGTTGTATTTCTTCTAGACCAAGTACTGGTACGACTCCTAGCAAAACTGAAGGTGTATGAGCTTTTCCATTGCACTTCTACAGTTTCTTCTAGGAAAAGCCTCAGAGAAACTCTTCCAGAAACTTGGGAAAATGGTGTTTGAGTACCATTGACACTGGTTGACTATTTCACGATGTTTGACCCTTTCATATATATACGACAGGTAGGTACTTCCAGTGCACTCTATAAAAAACACAGATTAGCTCTAGCTATGCAATGAATTTATTTACAAATATATTTACAAGCAAAATGAAACATGTTTGCATACTGAGGGAAAACAAAAAACCAAAAAAACCCAAAGCTATATGTATGGCATCAAACTACAGCAAGGCAGTGAGCCAGTATGTTTAAGCAGAGGCAACCAGATTTTTTTTTGTAAACTTTCAGAGGTGGAAAAAAATGTCAGTTAGTGACTCAAAATAACTGGAGGATTCTGTGGCAACTAGTAAAGGGGGTTGTATCTGTCTCTGCTACTTAAAGTAGAAGCAGTTCTTAAATATTCATATCTGAAGTTTACAGACTGGTGTTTGACTTTAGGTCTTGGAAAGGAGATTGCCTATCTACTTGTATTTTATCCTGTTGCTATTTAGAATAAGATACAAAATAACAGGGACCTTAACAGAGGTTTTCTGCTTTCTCAGGTAAGTACACGAATTACTAGGGTGAAGAGCCATGCTTGTTGTTATATTTTGGTTTTAGCCCAATTAACAATGAAAATCTTTTGCACTGTGTAACATCTTCATCAGATGGCGTGGAAAGCTTGTACAACCAGAATAGGTTTATAGTTTGTGACATGAGCTTTTGACTGACTCGGGCTGACTAGTATTAGAAACTATTATTAAGGTTTCAGGAGACCAGTCTAGCTATGCTCCGTCAAATCTATCAGTAGTGAAAAGCATTATCTCCATGGAGTTCTGTTATCAGTTGAATTTGCCACAATACGGCAGTAGGAATGGAGTGAGCATGTCAGGCATAATATCCTTTATCTTGTTTGTATGTTATTATTAATTTTTACATTTTACATGTAAATGCTAAATTATTACATCATTGCATATTATTGCACATGCTTATCTTTCAAAATGTGTAATTGTTCAAAAGTTGTAGTCCCTCTGGCATTTGCTCATAGTGATTTACTGCTGTCTACCATCTTTGTAAAGGTGCATACATGTTATTTTTGCAATAGAAATGGAAGGTCTTGATCAAAAATTAAGTAAGTTTCCAAAAGATTCAGCATAGGTCAAAGGATATAAGCATTCCCTAAATCTTAGTAGAATGACATTGGGAAAATTTGTTCATGGCTTAATACAGCTGTGTAAAACCCTACCCTAATAAGTTTGCAAGTTATGATGAGTATTTCATTAACACTTGAAGCCACTAGGAATAAATTGAACACAGATCTTTCACTTTCTGGGCAAATGTTTCTATCATGCTGTACAAAAAGTAATAGGCATACCTGATTTACACAAATCACCAGTGCAACTGTATTCATAAAAGCCCAGTTCTTTTAAAAATGATCTCTGCAGGTGTCTCCAGGCAGATACATTTTCTTCCCGGAAGTGACAATTTAAACACATGATTCCAAGAACCAGGATTTCATCCACCCTCTCCCTGTAGAAAATGCTGAAGATAGCCCAAGGCAGTTTGTTGCTGTTTATATGCAGGCTATTTTTGGCTCCCATTCCAAGGTGGCTAACTCTAACGCATTTAGTGGAGAGGCTGGTTGTCTGACACAGGGCGTGGATTCCACTCTGTGGGGTGACTGCTTAAAAATTAGGCATACAGTGGTTAACTCTTATATGACCAGCTGGTTTTTTGTGTACAGTTTTTAGCCTGGAATTTTTAGAATGGCTATTCTGTTCTTATTTGACACACTGAAGTTACTGTAAAATGACATGAAATAAAATCCTTTTTATTAATTTAATTACAACACAGTAAGGGTCCCAAGTCATAAGAATGGGGTTTGTATACATTGTGACGTAAGTAAGTATTCCTAATCCAACAGTGAATCTGTTGAAGCCCTGATTAGGAGACAGTAATTGCCTGTATGAAGATGCAAAGAAAGATACTATATTAACCACTGAAATAAAATGTGTGATACCAGCACTTGGTAACACATAAAGATGGTCTGGGACCAATAGGGAGCTAAGAGTCTCTTGTGCACTTCTGTCACAACAGTGCGTCCGCTGCACTTCCATTGTTGCCAAGGAATAAACTTCAGTAAAAAATGCAAGGCAATATCTAGAAGACCTTGAGCTAAGAACAAGTGCCAGCCCACAAAATGAATTCAAATCAGAGAGCAGATATAGTGGACGCTAGCAGAAGGGATGGAGGTCTATAACACCTATTTGGAGCTACAATTTCTCCTATCATCTACTCTAGAGAATTTGACTCCCAATAGGCTGTGGTCTGGCAGAAACAATCCTACCCACACATTGCTTTTATTTCTGGAAATCATGTGGTAAAGTCTGTAGATTGAACCAGCAGTCTTCATGTTTACTTCCTTTCACTGAGTATCAAAGGAAATGATGTGCTTGAAAAGGCACAAGTGTGCTCTTGGACAGAAAATTTTTCTTCCCTGAGACAAAACTCTCACAGGAGTTCTTAATGAGGTGAAAGTACTTCCTTAGCAAAGCCAGTAAGGGAGAGTTACGCTCTACAAGGCTGTTGAAACCAGAAATGCATTTTGATTGTTTCTGTGTTAATATATGTGTCAGAGTTGTGGGGTCTTTTTAAAGCATACATGTTTTCCAGGGATTTTGTGTGTCATTTCTGAAGGAGATACTTATTTTCTGATGATAGGACTACTTCATTTGAGATGTGAAAATTCAGTAGGTAAATTTATTTATACAGTGTAGTACATGATTACAGATTAATAATTATCTATTATTACAAAAAGATGTACCATTTCTTTTGATAACTGTAAAAATCTTAAGGGTCTTTTCCAACCTAAATGATTCTATGAGTCTATGTTTTTTTCTTTTCCTGGAAGATTTTAAGGTACACAAGGAAGCTATTAGTTTTAAACTACTTTTAGTAGAAAAAGCCAATTATTTTATTTATTGTCATAAAAATAGTTAATTTTGTTAAAAAAATAAAATTCTATTAAGAAAAAATGCTGTAGAAAGAAATTATTTTTCAAAAATTAACTTTCAGACATTGTGTTTTCTATGACCTGTGGAGGTAGGCCCTTTAATAATGAGCAAAAATCACATCCTAAAATTCCAGAATAATATTTTAAAACAGCCTAAAATATTATGTTAAATACAACAAAAATTGCTCATTAAATGATTAAGTTCTCTGAATTTCTGAGTAGTAAGCGCACAGAACTTTGTGCCACTTCCAGGCCTAACGTTGCTTCTACTGGAATTCCAGATAGCGGCAGTCTGCTGAAACATGAGTTCAGTTACCAAATATAGATGAGTGGGGTAAGAATTACATAGTCACAGAGGACAGATGTAACGCACAGGCCACAGTCTTCTCGATGCTCACTGAGGACCAAGCAATCTTTAGTGAATAGCTGGAGCAACTTTAAGCCTATTTAGATAAAGAAGGAAAAAAGCAACTTTAACCGCTATTAATTACACTTGAGACTCTTGGCCTGTTCATTGTAAGGTTTGTTTTATATTTTCTGCTAAATTTAATTATTGTACTTTGGGGAGTAGTTTTGTAGGATTTCAAAATTCAGAGGAAAAATATGTGCCTTTTTTGTTTTAAAAAATCTTACTAGATACATTTCTTCTTCATATTATTCCTTTGAACAGATTGACTTTGGGTCATATTTTTTTAAGTAATAACTTTTCATTCGGCAGGTTCCGCAAATTCAGGATGCTTATACTTTTCTTGAAATGAGTCCTTTGATTTTCTGTGGCTTTCCATATTTCATTATTTATCTCTTGAATACCTTCAATGATTAATTATTCAAATGTTTTCTGAGGTTATTGTAATCCAGTGCATTTTGAATTTCATATTTACCATATTATTCCTTAGAGCATCTATATTGTTTTCTGAATAAATATTTAAACAGCGTGATACTAGAATGTATGTTTACTTGTGAGTAATTTTTAAATATCTAGCAAATAGGACCCCATAAATAGTTTATGTGCAATAATGCTGGAAGTATAGCTAAATACTGATCTGTATGCAACACTGTATTTTATGTTTGTGCCTTTAAATGATACAGTATATGGCTTTGCAGATTACCTAATGAGTAATGATGATGAAAACTGTTATAAATACATTGTAGTCTAACTTGGAGAAGCTAGAAATAGCATTCAAAATTTCTAATTATGATTTTATATGCTATTTGATAGGGTTAGCGATACTTCACCTCCAGTTCACTGTGGTTACAAGTTGCTCTAAAAGAATAGTGGTTTTATGTATTACAGTGTGGCTGAAAAAAAAGTCTTTATACTGGAAGCTTCCATACAGCTGTCTAAAGCTAGACATATAAAGCCATTTTTAGGCACCAGAGCTTTCTCACCAAGAAGGCTTATCAGCATTAGAAATTGCCAATAACCAGCACATGTTTAAATTCATCTACTTTTCTAATGAGTGACAAAACAGCGTAAAACTCAGTAGTAGGAGGAGATATGCTAATTCATAACACATTCATTTTAATCATCATGTCAGGTGGCTAGCAATAGGTGAAATTGTCCTCCAACCCATAAGCCATTGAAACACCAGAGCAGCTTGGTGTTGGAAGTCAGAGAAGTTTATCTGAATCTGTAATGTATCACTTTGAGATGTGAGCAAGCTAGGAACCAGTATGAATCAGATTTAAATAAAGATATAATTTGTAGCACAGGTATTTATGAGTTATCTAAATAGTAAACTAGTACCTTTGTTCATCTGAATACAAAGTTTTAAAAAATAACTAAGATTAAGGAGGCAGAAACTCTCCGGGTTTAACCCTTGGTTCCCTGGCATTCATCCAGTTTATGCCTTAACAGCTGAGCCTGTAGACCAACTGTTTGCTTGGCTTCTCAGATTCATTCTTTAAAGCTGCTACGTGGTAGTCAGTTATACTGTATATACTTTTTTAGATTTTGTTGACAAGAGATTGGCATGGTTGCTAAATTTGTTGCCCTGTAAAAGGAAAGATAAAAGGAAAGAAAGATGTAATCCCAGCAAAGAATAAGCCTATTGCTGCATTCGATAAAAACATATATCAAATCCCAAAATGCTTTGGTTCCCTTATACTTCTCATTTATGTGTTGAGTTGTAATCTGTTGGCAAGACAAACAGGCATATCAAGAGATGCATGCGCCAGGCCAAGAATTCCAATAATCTGTTAGTCAGTTAATGACTACATGCCGGGTAAGCCCTGGTGAAGTGACTAAAGATAATTGGAGCTTGCACAAGCTGATGTAAAATACATCCCAGTGCATCTCATGACTGTCAAGCCACCTATCTATCAGTGCAGAAATACTTTGGACCCTTAAGAGAAAAAATATTTTTTAAAATCTTGTGCAGGATTAATCTTGTAGAAATTATCATAAGAAGAGAATTTTCAAGGGTAGTTAAAACCACTGATGTTCAACTTAGTTAAATGCTTTGCAGAAGCAGCAATTATTTTTAAGAGCAGTTCACCTGCAATCTAGTGACCAGCAGGACAAATACATTTCAATAAGGAGAGCTTCAAGCAGATCCTTCCCTTGGGAAAAGAGAGGTTTCCCTGATGTCTTGTTTCTTGCTGGCTTTACAGAGGCAGAGAACGCTCATCCTCATTCTAAAATCATATGGGAAAACTGGAGATGTATAGATGCTTGTGTGCTTTGTGAAACTGGTACAGAATATATATTATACACTTACGCGATGCAGGATGATACATAGGTTGTGAAATCTATTTCTTCAGTGTTTTACTTTTAGCATGTGGTATTTTGATATTCCACTTATCAGTGTTGAGAAAAGTGCTACTGAGTTGTACTGAAAGGTAACAAGTTAAAAACCTTAACACAAGAAGTAAAATAATATTAAACACCTTATCAACATTAAACAGAAAGGATAACTTGGAATTTCTAATCCAAACATCCTTGTGTAGATGCTCGTAATGGTTTCAACTAGAACAGTGTTTTCCTCTTGGAATTTGATGGTTTAGTGTCTGGAAGGCAGTGTTACGGGAAAGAGAAAAGTAAATATATTCCCCAAATCATCATAAGCTAAAACCAGAAAAAGTGAAGTGCAATAGCATTGATGTGAAATAACAAATCAGATGTGAAATAACAAATCACTCAGATTGGTCCAGTGGAACTGAGGTTGTGCTAGGCAATGTACAGACAAAGAATGTCTTCATAGTTCTGAAAGAAGATGCATGAGAAAAATTACTCTTAAGTGCTTTCATTTTTACCTAGACAATTTGCAGCTCTGGCCCATTCTAATAGAAACCAAGGTTTTTGGTAAGTATTTCGTGCACTGTTGGGTTCTGCTCTTCTCCCAGTTTTGTGTCTAGCTTATGGGAACCAGGATATAAGAAGGGTTTTTTACTGACAAGTTTTTTTTTGTTAAGGAATTGTGTTCGTGTCTTCCAGGACGCAAGACAGAAGCTGTGGCCAGGCATTGCCTCTTTAATGCTGAAGGAGGCTTACTGTGCAGAGAGAGGCACCAATAAGGGATATCCTGAAAATATGTCAGAAGCTTCATCCTACCATGACTTTTTCTATGATTCCCTATCAGACACACAGAATGGAGAATTTTCAAATGAACTTTCTGCCTTCCTTACCCAGGAGGAGATATGTAAGAGCCTTGACATAGCTCGGGAAGCCATTGCCAATTCCATGAAGGAGGATCAGAATGCAGCACCAGACTTTACTCATTATTTTAAGACCTCTCATTCTAGCACTTCAGAAAATCCTTCTTTCAGGGATACCAAACTGCATGAGCAAGATGCTTTACAGAGGCTTCAAGCAAGCAGTCTGACTTCATCTGCTGCAAGTCACGTTCTCCCAGGGAGTCAGAAAGAGCAATCCACCGCAGCTCAAACACCAAATAGTTTTGACACAGTTTCCAGGAGGCAAGCAAGCACCTCACCTTTGCTAACTGCTAGTCCCAGCTTCATTAGAAGCCTGAAACATTTGGAGAAAGATGGTCCGGGTGTGCCTAAGACAAGCCCAAAGTCCGAATCGGCATCCCAGGGAGAAGTTCCTTTCAGGAGCAAGCTGTGCGACAAAGCTGCCACATTCATAGAGGAACTGTCATCTATATTTAGACAGGCAGCAAAGACAAGAGGCCGAAGTCCTGACGGGGACTCTTCTTCTCCAGACAGTGGATACCTATCTCCTAAAAAGAAACAACCAGCTGAAAGTACCTCAGTGAACCAGGAGTTTGACAAGCCACATCAAGAGACTGAGCCTGAGGCAAAATTACCTGGAGTTCATCTGAATGGAGAACACTTTTCTGAAAGGGACAGCATCACTCAGAGCAAAATGGTCCTTTGCCACCCCTTCATCAACATGGAAGAGAATCAATCCTCACCACCTCAATTCACTCAGAAGCTCCGGAGCCAGGAAGTTGCTGAAGGAAACAAAGTGTTGCTGGAATGCAGAGTTTCAGGCAACCCAGTTCCTGATGTCAGGTAAGTGCATGCCTTTTAACTAAGTCACTGGATATCATAATCTTCTGATTGTGGAAGGTACCTAAGGACAGGTATCACAATAGCCCTGCTTAGAGGTAGTCACATAAGAACAGTGGATCATGCAGTGGTTGGTAAGCACACGAAATAACAGATTCTGACCGCTTTAGTTCTCTCAGAGTGTTTCATTGTTTTCTGCTTGGGAATTGAAGTTCTACTTGATTCAAGAGCCACATGGCAAAATTAGAAACAGAATTGGCTCTAACAATATTCTGTTTGACTGTTACCTTATCAATCTAGGTGAAAGAATTAATAATTTGCCCCTGAAAAGCATGCATCAGGCAGTTGATACGGTTTTTACTGTCGATTAGTTAGAATGTCTCCAAGCCCCATACTAATGAGATTTGGGGTGTAGACTATGAGATAACCTAAATCTAGCCAAATTAAGTTACCCCAATTGCTTGCAGATAGTCACATGTATAGCCCTTGCAGCTATGCAAGCTTAGGAATTCATATCCATCACTAAACAGTGTCTTCATACATACCATAATTGAACTTCTGCTTTGAAATCAGTTTTTAACATGTTTTTAAAATCTGTGCCTTTTGGTACAGGTTTGCAGAGTGAATAAACAGAGCTGTCAGTCTGAAGATTTTAGATCTTTGTCAACAAGATTAAAAAAGTACAGCTTTGAAAAGTCATGTTATGGCTATATGTGCTTGTATATGCTTTCGTTCCAAGGTGAAAAGTTACTTTGTAGAAAATATCTCCAGAGAGTCTTGTTTGTGACTGTTGAAGACAACAGCGTTGCCTTTATCCTTCTCTGAGTCTTCAGTGAAAATGTATCCCAGACAAGCTGAATATTGAGACACTGAAATTTTTACAGGGTCAAAAGATCATTTATAGAGACATCAAGTGTGTTCAGTTGTTTTTGTATACAAAGTGGAAAAAGTTGTACCTCAATATATTGAGTACATTGGTTCTGTACTCAAGCTTAGATTGTCCTGCAAACTGAAGCCAACTGATCTTCTAAACCAAGACAAGCTGTGGATCTGTACTCTAAACAAAGGAATTACATCATGAGCCTTGCCAACAGGTCAGGAAGCTTACCCCAAAAATGTAATTGTAATGCCTAAATTGTAATGCCCATCAAGCAATATGACAGCCATGTCATGTCATTAATAGTTGTTTGGTATTTTATTTTTTTAAATATCTGCTGGGAAAAAAGGACAAGAATCACAATTATGGGTGCAAAAGCCTTCCAGTTGTTCATTCTCCTTCAGACTTCCAGGAAGCAGGAAAGAGGAATTGCAAAAGTCGCACAATTATGACAGCCAGGGAATCCTCCTCTTGTGTTTCTTCTCTTAGATTCTTCCTTCCCCTTCACTAAGATACTGCAGCCTGCCAGTGGTACTGATGCGGACACTAGGGCAACACAAGCTGTTAACTTCCAGTAGTTCTTTTTTTGCTGTTGTTGGGTTAGGTAATATGACAGCTAACATAATGTTACTGATACTTTTGAATTGTAAAATAGAGTAGTAGCAACAGACAGAGGGACCACCCTTAAGGAAAAAAATTAATTACTATTAAGTAATACTAAAGACCTTTTCACCTAATTTTATGCATCTGTAGGTTAGATATTTAACCTGACCAAGTCACCCTAGACTCCATCTGCAGTCACTAGAGAAGCATGCCTACCAAGAGTCACCTGTTTGGTACATTGACAAGAACTTAAGGCAAATACTTCAGACTAAACACTTCATTACTAGTATTATTATTGTAATAGGTGAGGTGAATCCCACCTGCTCCCCCATCTCTATGCCAATGGATGGCACAGGGAGAAAGAGTTGCTCTGCCAACTCATATCCACAGGTAATGAAACTAAAAGAAAAAACCTAAACTGTCTTTCTTACAGGTGAGAATTCATCATGATACATATTGCCTCAAAGGAACTTAGTTTTCCTAGTATTTCAATTTTGAAAACATCCATACTTCCATAACTTGAACAGCAAACTTTCTTAGAAATTTTTTTTGCTAAGAAACCAAGAGACAAAGTGGTCTTTTTTTTTTTTTTTTTTTTTTTTAACAGGGTACAAGTCATTAATAGGACTATTAAGGCACTGAGAGTCAGTCTGTAGACAATACTGTTTTACTAGAATGAAACACTGTTTCTGTTGGCTTAAATGGTTTTACCACCGTCAGTCTATTACACTTTAACACGTATGTCACTGCTACTGAGTTACAAAATCTATTTTGTGGGGTGAAAATGATCTTAGAAAAGGCAGCAGATAGGCATGGAGTATCTCTAAAACCAGAATTACTAAACATCCACTACATAAAGCCTAGGGTCAACGGGCATTTACTTTCATAACACAGCAAAAAAACCTCACTGGTGCCATCAGACTCACATACTGTCCATTTCCTGCCATTGGTAGGAACTGTTCAGAACTGATTAGAAGTTGTTGATTTCTTTTATGAAATTTGGCATAGACAGTTTAGGTAAGTTTGACAGCAGCAATGAGATTGCTGTGTTTTAATAGCAAAGATACTGAAGCATTACAAGATTGCATCTTGTTGCTCTTATTTTATCTGTCAGAACATCAGTCTTTACTTCAGTGATATGACTCCAGAACTGTACATAAATATCAACTGAACTAGGAAGTTTGTACAAGCAATGGAGCTTTTTTTGCTTAAGTCTTTTACATCATTGTTGTATTCATTTCAGAGGCTGCTAATATCAAGATGTTAACAAGAAGTCTAGAAAAAAGCTTTATGTTCTTTAAATTTTAATGTAAACTCTGCTTTTCTGAATCTTAACTCTTGCAGAATCATTAAATGAGAAGGCAAATCTTCTCATTCAATCAAATTCACTGAGCAGAATGAGTCATGAGAAACACTGCTGACATAACAGTAAATGATTTTAAAATCAAGTATTCTTTTAAGTAATCTCATCAGTATCAATTAATTTGTAACTTTTGGATTATTTCCCTTTTTGAGAGCCATAATTGTGCTACGTTAGTAGTCTGCAGATACAACCATTGCTGAATCGCAGCAAATATGCTTCATGCCAACTTCTCAGTCTCTTGCAAAGCTCCTTGGCAATCAATTTAATACACTTTCATGGTCCACCCTCGAATTGGTTTTATTTAATTATTATTAATAATTCTCCATCCGGCAACAACACACAAATTTGTGAATATACTCAAATAAAACCTATTACGTACTAAAAATAAATTACTTTTCCAAAGTTCCCACTAAAAATACGTTTCCCCTTTAGTCTCCATTCCATTGTGGATCTTCAAGAGAGGGAAAATATGGTAGCTGTACCTCAAAAACTATTCATTTTGGAAGCCCATACAATTTTGCACCGTGACCTTTCTGTAATGACGCCGACTTGGCTGCAGAGGTCACTCGCACACAGCACGGGTAGGGTTCTCGCAGGCTGGATTTCTTCTGAGGGCCGGGCCGCACAAGGGGGGAGCATAGAGCCCTTTAGCTATTGAGCGCTGTTGGGGAGCCCGTAGAACAAACGCCAAGACTCATGCAGTGGTTAAGAGACTGTGCTAACCATGTAAGGCACAGCAAATACTTGCGTGCTGTTTGGGTGAGACTCCAAAGTGCTATCTCTGAATCTTGGGGAAAGGAGGGGGTTCTTTCCTTTAGAAGATAAGAAAGCATGCAGGAAAATTTGAGGTGGATTCTAGACTATAATAACATTACTAGGAACTTCTAAACAGTTACATAATATCCCCTATGCAGATCACTTCCCCTCTTTCTGGAGCTGAAAGGGAGTATGGTATATCCTGAATATCCAGTAAATAGCGAATATACTGCAGTGGAAAAAGACAAGCCTATTTAAAACCACTGATGTATTGCAGAGCAAGTGAAGAATGCTTACTGTTTGTGCCACTTTCGGGAACATTTCTGTAAATTTGAGTTTTATATGGTTTTTTTTTAAAAAAAAAAAAAAAGCAAAACACCAGTGGTACAATACTAGTTGACCATTCTCTTGTACTTTGGTAATCTAGTTTTCCAAAGCACTGTATAGACAACTGTTTCATTAGACTGAATTTCTGATTTGTAATACCTTTGAAAAAAATCTTTGGAGCATAATCATATGAATTGGAAAGATTAAAATACCTATTGTTTTCTGAAGAAACTGGCCAGAGGAAAAAAGGTATAAAAGATACTGAACATTTTGTGGAAACTGCTGAATAGGTAGAAGACAGAAATGGAAATTGTTATTGCCAAAAGAAGGGCTATAGAACAAGCTGAACAGTTTACCTGGTCTGTGAGGCATAAGAGCCAGACGCTTAGCACGTGCAAAACCTGCTGAGCAGGAGATGCAGATAGGGGCATGAGGCAGGATTACCATGGCCTGTACATTTCCACATAGCAATAAAATCTGCAGAAACGAGAAATTGTTCTGATTTTTCCCAGAAAAGCCAGATTCATTAACATAGCCACTGCAAATAATATTTTTGGAACTCTGTGTGGTAAGCGTGATAAAAGTAGAGAGCAATTGGGATTTTCATTTTTTGTCTCAGCTGGAAAGAAAATAACCAGAAGCCATAGTTCCTAAAGTCATGATGAAAGAACAATAGTTTAATGGTGACAAGAAAAGCACTGACTATTGTTATTTTTCCCAGCACCCAAGAAGTTGTCTAGCCTAGTAATAAGCACAGCTGATATTTAGGCAGAATCAAGCACTAGTGGCCATGAGTTCATCCAAGTGATCTAGAGCAGAGCAAAAGGCCTTCAAAAGAAACTACTTAAGTATTTCTGACTGTTTAGCATGTTATTGTTTTTCTATGCATCACATTTTCTTCTGGATCCCAATAATCTTTATAACTGGCTTTCTTCTCTTTTCATAGCTTTTTTTGAGCTAAACTTTCCAAAATCTTCAACCTATCCAAATTGGAGCTAGAGTCCTGCCTTAACCTGCTACCCTTCTTGTAAGGCTAAGGATAAAGAGGTTGCAGAATCTTACTATAAGCAAAGAAAC